TACTATTTTTTTTTGTTAGTCCAAAGGGTCAACTAAAAAAAATTCTATAAATTTTTCTTATCCGTTAAATTAAAAAATTTGAGAATTTTTTATCCAACATAGTTACTATTTTTTCGAATTTTTCTAATAAAATTTTTTGAAGCATTGTAATTAAATGAAAATAAAATATTATTTATTTGATTCATATTTATCTGTCTTTGACTTCAAGTTATAAATTTCACCCGTTTTAAGCTAAAAAATACGTATTCAGTCCAGAGATGTAGCGCGACAAAGTTGCAGGGTTTCACAAACACTGATGTTATAAGGAAAGTAACCAAAAATACCAAATATCATACTAAGGTTAAACCATTTTTGTCGCAATATATTATATATTTTAATTTTTATTCCGTATTTCGGAGCATTCCAATAATCCCAATCTATTTAACTTTCTGATTCCAGAAAGAGCATAAAATAAATATCTTTAGAACTTCATTAGAATACTATTTAAAAGTTATTTCGATTTTATTGCGAATTTATTTTTAAAAAATGCTTTTTAAATCCGAAAAAAACTCGCAATTGTTGACATAAAAATGAATTCCTTTGAGACACTTATAAATATTTTTCGAATAGAAATTGAAGAAAAATAAATTATTTTGTAAACCAGTAATGAAAAAAAAAATTCTTTTTTGATTCTCTGCTATCTGGGAGTATATAAGGTTTCTTTTTAGTGTGCTGATTTACAATATTCTAGCGGTGTAATGCTTGTTTTATATAATAACAGGGTACATATTATGAAATAGATCGGAATAATTCTGAATTCCTTGCAAAATACAATAGAAATTTAAGCAATAACTCCATTGGAATCTATTCATTCGGAATAATTCCATAATACGTATCCTGAAAAATATTTAATTCTGAGATATTTACCAATCAAACTAATAATAGAACAACTGAACAGTACTTGTACGAGCAAGACGATACTTATTACATCGGACAAAAGTTCCGCAAGCTCTATTAAATAACAATGTCTTAGTGTCAATATTGAAAAATATTCATTTATGTTTTTGCTTTTCACGCCATAGTTAGTAAACTTGATTTTTAGAAGTTCCAGTTGACCGCAAACGTGGAGAGTGATTGCGAGAAAAAGTGAATCATTACCTTTATAATTATATTTCAATGTTGTATTAAAATATTTTACATTGAAAATTTTTAATTATAATAGAAAAATTATTAAGATCTTCTGAAAAAATGATTTTAAAAAATATAAAGGATATTATGTGTAGCAATAATAGGAAATATAACTACGATATTTATTAAAAATAACGTCTGTTAAAAAATATTTGGAAGTTCAATGCATATGTGTGTGTATGTAATAAATAAAAGTGAAGTTTCAATTAGATATCAAGTTTAGTTTAAATGTCAATAGTAAATAAAATTACTGAAATGAAAGTTAAACATTTTAGAAATTTTATTAATAAATTTTATGAAAATGTTTAAAATAAATTCGTATTCTATACAAAATAAATTCATATTCGCATACAAATCTCTTTGATATTAACAGTTAGCTTATTACCACAATTGCTGGTACCAGTAAGCAGCAGTATAAAATATTGCACCGTAGAGATTACGAAATATAAACCTGTAGGTATTTGCAAATCCCCTAAAAATGTTATGGGAACTGGTAATTTTGCTGCTTGATTTTTAATGGATACATTAATATGGATATCCTCATCGCCTGTCATCATAGGTGCCAGCGTAAAAATTGATGAAGCTAAATAAGCAAAAAATATGATACTGTAGCAAATCATTCTTCCCATAAATGCATGCTGCCGCATGATTGTGCGCTTCTCCTCAGTGTCAATTGTAGAATAATCGTTCACAGCGGAAGAGTAATTGCGAATCAGATTGTCAGCGTATAAGCGGAACGACAATAATTTTAGTACACAGAGAACGTTGCAGAACATTAGTACAAGAGCATCAAGTTTTATATATGCATCGCTGCTACCGAAAATGATTTCGAGGAACAACATGATCATCATCACGGTCTACACAGATAGGAAGTACTTTATTATATAAAGCTTTATTATGGTTTTTTGGTTCCACTACATTCATGCTGCACCGAACCCTTGATCTGTCGAACTTGATATATTGAATATATTTGCAAATGATACAGAAATTTTATTGGAATACGTAATGAAAATTGGAAACATACCAAACTGATGCCGCACATGATAGAACGAACTAAAGAAAATGTATTATATTTTTGCAAAGGCCAGACACCTAATGGCAGAGTTAAGAGTTTGAAAGGAGTCATAGCGTAGGCCACATCGTCATTCCATGACATTATCGCAGTCATGTAGAGTTTATGCGTTGCACGATTCTCAATAATGTCGATCTTTGTCATAATGTGAGTCGATCATCGTCGTTCGCTCTTTTACATTCATATTTTATTGAAGTTGCGCAATTTAACATTTTACTAGAGTACCCCGTTATTTTTTAAAACACAGTTATTTTAGAAACTGAACGAAACAGTTTTTTTATGTCGAAATAGAGTGGAGCAAAGATCGATTGAAGGAGGCGGTATTTCATTTTTTTTCCAGTGCTTCATCTATCATTGATCATGTTAGTATATCCTTATTCCAATACCATATTTTTATTAAAAACATGTAGAATTTAGTGCATCAATTTTTTTATAATTGGACAATAGTGTTTTTAATGTCAATATTTATATCTGCTTGATATTTACTCATATAACCAAATTTATTAAAAGTCAATTTTGCAAAATGTCTGCTATAGATTTTCTTGATAGAGAATACTATCAAAAAATAACCGAATATGTTATTACTGTTACTATTTAAATAAAAATTAGAAAAAATTTCGAATTTAAAAAAAGAGTGACAAAAAGTTATAAATGGAAACAGTTGAAAACACAATAAATTAAGATATAAACGTTTTTGTTTGTTCGCTTTTTAATTTACGCTTTCTGGGAGTTTACGCTCTGACATATCCTTTTTACATTTAACATACACTTCGAGTTTTCTCTAGAATAACAGAATATGATGATAGATTGCAGAAAACTAACAATATTTATTATATATATTTGGTAACTATTTAAGTGATATTTATATAGTTAAATGATTAATTTTTCATTTTTGCAATCTGCTGCCGCATTATATTGGTAAAATAGTGGCAGAATTTAATACAAACGTTGATGATGACAATCTGTATTCTATACTAGAATCCGTTATCAAACTGCTAGTATATTGTAAATATTTTGATTATTCAATAGTTATTAAATTATAATACATGCAATGATAGTATTTTCACAATCGCAAGGTACGTGCCGTAAGAAAATCGTTTTAAAGTGACGTGAGTGTACAACATGTGACGATATTTACTAAAGTAATAAAATAACTTATGTTATTTATTTTAATTTGATTATTTAGTTCTAAACATATCCTATGTATTGAAATAATTTCACAGATGATATTATCTACATCTGTACGATGTTACCTCTTCAAGCTTTTGTCTCTGAAGTTACTCTCGCGCCCTACGTTTCCACCATCACTCGTAAGATGGATAAGTATGAAAGCGAGCTTTTCAATATTGTCATGTAAGTTTTAATATTTAGAACAAAAAATCTACCCGCTAGCAATTGAACAGGTTGCTGCGATCGCATGATTACTAACAAAATGTTCCTCATCAATTTAGTTGGCAAATAATACCAGTTGGAACTGTAAATTGAGTGAGCGATTTGTTCCATTTGACACTTCATATAATCGCCCACAAAACTGTAAAAGAATAACTGTAACAGTAGACCACTCAGCACTGAAATAGTTTTAGTTATCATTACTACATCATGCGATTTCAATGCCAAGATAAATTGAAAACCTGAAAAACATAATTACACAGCATTCAGTCAACATTCTTTATTATTAGGCATTACTACCACAAGAATTTTGCTAATTTATTCAATAATTTTGTTATGTTATTGAAATACTAGGAAATTGGATACAAAATGTTTTACTGACAACCCAGATAGCATAACTGATCTATTATATTTAAACTTCAAAAGAATTCATTTTCTTGATTTCTTTATGAATTAGCGTAATTTGCAATAAACTTAAAAAGAATTCCTTTCTGACAATTAACAAAGGATTCCATAAAAATACTTCTTACAGAGTTAAATTGAAGTTACAATAATTTAAAGAAATCCTTTTTCTGTTTGTAATAATTTCAAAAAAAATTCATGTTTTTTTCTTTGTCATAATATACTTGTACAAAATTATTCCCGCTACAAGTCATGATCTGCCGCCATTAAAATTGTATCGTGTTTGAGTGATTGTTGCGAGCATAACAAAAATTAGTTTTTGCAATAGCGTTTTGTATATATACATATAAAAAATAGATATATAAAATATATATTACATATAATATATGCATGTATTTGCATACATAATCATGTTTAAATATAAAAGTAAAATTTAATTTGAATAAAAAATGAAATATAACTTATTCTTATACAGAATTAAGAAATACGAATATATAAAAATATGTGCTGCGGCAAAAAATATAACAATACAAAGAATATGACAATACAAAGATATGACAACATACAATATATATATTAATAATTGATTTATATTTTAAAATATTTTTTTTGTTAAAACATTTTTGTCGCAAAATATATTTTAATTAATTTTTATTTCATATTTCGGAGCATTCCAATAATCCCAACCTATTTAACTTTCTGATTCCAGAAAGAGCATAAAATGAATAGCTTTAAAACTTCGTTAGAATACTATTAGGTGTTGGAATTAATTCGTAGCGTTTTACAAGTGATGGGAAGTACTTTCATTAATGTATTTTTTAATGCTCATGTGAAATAAATAACATTCTTTCATTAAAAACGCTACGAATTAATTCCAACACCTATTATAATATTTAAAAATTATTTCGATTTTATTGGGAATTTATTTAGATTTTAAAAAAATGCTTTTTAAATCCGAAAAAAAGTCTTAATTGTTGACATAAAAATTCCTTTGAGACACTTAGAAATATTTTTCGAATAGAAATGAAATAGAAAAATAATTTATTTTGTAAACCGGTAATGAAAAAAGAATTCTTTTTTGATTCTCTGCTATCTGGGAGTATATAAGGTTTAAACTTTTTATTCTGCTGATTTTACAATATTCTAGCGGTGTAATACTTGTTTTACATAACAATTACAGGACACATATTATGAAATAAATTTGGATCGGAATAATTCTGATTTCCTTCTTGCAAAATACAATAGAAATCCAGCAATAATTCGACATCGGAATCTATTCGGAATAATTCCATAATACGTTCCTGAAATATTGAATTCTGAGATATTTACCAATCAAACTAATAATAACACAACTGAATAGTACTTGGACGAGCAAAACGAAACTTATCACATCGGACAAAAGTTCCGCAAGTTCTATTAAATAACGATGTTTTTGTGTCAATATTGAAAAATATTCATTTATGTTTTTGCTTTTCATGCCGTAGTTAGTAAACTCGATTTTTAGAAGTTCCAGTTGACCGCAAACGTGGAGAGTGATTGCGAGAAAAAGTGAATCATTACCTTTATAATTATATTTCAATGTTGTATTAAAATATTTTACATTGAAAATTTTTAATTATAATAGAAAAATTATTATTTAAGATCTTTTGAAAAAGTGATTCGAAAAAAATATAAATGATATTACGTGTAGCAATTATAGGAAATACAACTATGATATTTATTAAAAATAATATCTATTAAAAAGAATTTGGAAGTTCAATGCATACGTGTGTATATGTAATATAAATAAAAGTGAAGTTTCAATTAGATATCAAGTTTAGTTTAAATGTCAATAGTAAATAAAATTACTGAAATGAAAGTGTAAACATTAGAAATTTTATTAATAAATTTTATGAAAAGTAAAACGTTTAAAATAAATTCATATTCTATACAAAATAAATTCATATTCGCATATAAATCTCTTTGATATTAACAGTTAGCTTATTACCACAATTGCTGGTACCAGTAAGCAGCAGTATAAAATATTGCACCGTAGAGATTACGAAATATAAACCTGTAGGTATTTGCAAATCCCCTAAAAATGTTATGGGCACTGGTAATTTTGCTGCTTGATTTTTAATGGATACATTAACGTGGACATTTTCATCGCCTGTTATCATAGGTGCCAGCGTAAAAATTGATGAAGCTAAATAAGTAAAAAATATGATACTGTAGCAAATCATTCTTCCCATAAATGCATGCTGCCGCATGATTGTGCGCTTCTCCTCAGTGTCAATTGTAGAATAATCGTTCACAGCGGAAGAGTAATTGCGAATCAGATTGTCAGCGTATAAGCGGAACGACAATAGCTTTAGTACACAGAGAATGTTGCAGGACATAAGCATTAGAGCATCAAGTTTTATATATGCAGCGCTGTTACCGAAAATGATTTCGAGGAACAACATGATCATCATCACGGTCTACACAGATAGAAAGTACTATTTATTATGTAAAACTTTATTACGGTTTTTCGTTTCCACTATATTCACGCAGCACCGAACGCTTCACTTAATCTGTCGAACTTGATATATTGAATGTACTTCCAAATGACATAGAAATTTTATTGGAATATGTATGAAATTTTATTGTAATATGAAAATTGAAAACGTACCAAACTGAAGCCGCACGTGATAGAACGAACTAAAGAAAATGTATTATATTTTTGCAATGGCCAGACGCCTAATGGCAGAGTTAAGAGTTTGAAGGGAGTCATAGCATAGGCCACATCATCATTCCATGACATTATCTTAGTCATGTAGAGCTACACGTTTCACGATACTCAATAATATCGGTCCTAGTATCTCTATAATACGAGTTGATCATCGGAAATGTTCGCTTTCATGTTTATATTTTATTGAAACTGCACAATTTAACATTTACTAAAGTACCTTGTTATTTTTCAGAATACGGTTATTTTTGAAAGAAATTATTCATATTGAAGTATAGTGGGGAAAATATCGAATAGATGGAGGGGGTTTATTTTTTCCAGTACATCGTGTTGCATTGATCGTGATATAATACCTTTTATTCCGATATTTTTTCATCAAGAACATATACAATTAATTCAGAATTTAATGCATCAGAGTAGTGTTATTAGTGTCACTAAAATTATTTAAAGGTATTTTATATTTTACTATTGATACTTTTAATTTAGTTTGAATTAAGAAATGTACTGTAATTACATTTTTATAAAAATAAAATTTTATTTTATATTTGTTGTTATTTTTCTAGATATCTTTAAGCTTTAAGTGGTAATAGATTAACTATAAGAAAACCAAATAGTATCTGGGAAAAAAAGTATTAATGTGGGCTGGAAATGTAACTCATAATTCTATTATAATTAACATTATCTCTTGCAAAGTTTGATCTTTGTTTAATATCAAAGTTTGAAATAATTCCTTCACAACTTTTTGTTAATAATTAATGTTATTATAATTGATATTTATTTATTTAACTCAAAGCTCCATAATTTGATCACACTTTAACAAGTTGATTGCCCTCATTTTAGCAAACATCTAATATAACTATCATATAAGCAATTGTATTAAAATCTTATATTAATAAATTATCATTTGCACTCATTGACTTGAATATATAATTAAAATATAAAAAAGTTACATAAAAGAAACATTATAGCCACATTACCATTTTTTTACTATTTTCTAATCATAATATGTGTATAATACACATATATAATCCATTTATTTAATTATAAAAAATAATTAATTTTGTTTTATTTCTGCAAGCAATCTGTTGTTGGATTATCTTAATAAAATTCTTTTGAGAAATATGATACTAATAAATGTGGATATAGTTAATGAATGCCAATCTGTTGTGATATTTTATCCGAAACTAATAGAACATTGTTAATTATGTTAACGTCCATTTATTTGATAGTTATTAAATTCTAAACACCGATTATATTTTCGCAATTGTGAATAACGCATCACAGCAATTACTTCTGTTGCATACTTTTTAAAATGTGTTAAAATAACGTATAATATATTGATTTATATCAAAAAAACAATTTTTAACTTCAGTTTTATTATTCAATATCCTGCCTTATAGTAACTCTTACAAAATGATATTTCTTATATATATGTAAGGTGTTATTTTTTCGTTGAGATTTATTCTCAATAGTTACCTGCTCTCTATGAGTCCACCATCACTCGCAAGACGGATAAATACGAGAGAGAACTTTTTAATATGGTCATATAAGTCTCGATAGTTACGACGAAAAATCTGCCTGCTAACAATTGGACAGGTTGCTGCGACCGCATAATGACGAACAGAACATTCCTCATTAATTTCAGTGGAAAGCAGTACCAATTACAGCTGTAGATAGACTGAGCAATATCTTCCATTTGACACTTTAGATAGTCGCCCACGAAACTATAAAAGAATAACTGTAACAACAGAGCGCCCATCACTGTTATGGTTTTAATTATCATCACTACATCATGTGATTTCAATGCCAAAATAAATTGGAAACCTGAAAAATATGTAATACACAACATGCACAAATTAACTTTCTCTGACATTACTGAGATAGAAATTTTTCAAAGTTTACCTAATATTTCTCTTACGTTATTAAAATATATAGAATAAAAAATTAGATAATGTTTCTCAGACAATTAATACAATTTTCGAACGTTTTGCAAAAAATTTTACGATATTCCGTAAAACACTTTTTTCTGACAAAATATAATAATACGTTATATAACTGAAAAAGTAACTAGTTCAACATATTTACCAATCAAACAAATAATAAGACAACTAAACAGCATTTGCACAAGCAAAACGAAACTTATTACTTCGACGAGAAGTTCTGCAAGCTCCATTAAATAATGATGTCTTGATGCCAATTTTGAAAAATCTTCAAATATGTTCTTGCTTTCCACGCCATAATTGACAAATTCCATTTTTAGGATTTCCATTTGCCCACAAACATGTGTAGTGATAGCGAGGAAAAGTGAATCACTGCCTTCATAAATAAATGTCAATTTTCATTAACATAATTTATATACATTGAAAGTTTTAATAGTTAGAATCTGCTGCAGAACTGATATAAAAAAAAGAAAATATTATAACATTACAACTATAAAATAGATACGACATGCATTAAAAAAGAATATCTAGTGAAAAGTAAATAAAAATTAAATATATAATATTTAAATATATAATTAAAACAAATATTTTATTTAATTAGACATCAAGTTTAGTTTGTATGCTTTTAGTTAATAAAAAAGCTGAAAGCTAATAAATAGCTAAAATTAAAAAATTGAAGCTTATTATTGAATTAATATCGAATAATTAATATTAAAAGCAAAACGTATAAACAAATACGCAAGCTTCATTGATATTAACAATTAGTTAATTACCACAATTGCAGTTGCTATTGAGTACCAAAAGAAAATATTGCACTATAGATATCACGAAGAATAAATTCGCAGAAAGATGATAGCTTCCTAACGACCATGTTAAGGGTATAGGTAAATCTGATGCTTGATTTTTGATAGATACATTAACTTGAATGTTTTCTTCATCGCCAACTATTATAGGCACCAGACAGAAAATTGTTGAAGCCAAATAAGCGAAAAATAAGATACTACAGCTAATCATCCTTCCTATGAATGCGTGTTGTCGCATAATCGCATGCTTCTTCTTGTTGTCGATCGCGAGATAATCTTTTATAGCAGAAGTGAAATTGCGAATCATATTATTGGCATATATGCGGAATGACAATAGCTTCAGTACAGACAGAACGTTGCAGAACATAAGCATAAGAGCATCGAGCTTTACATACACATCGCTGCTACCAAAAATGATTTCGAGAAACAACATGATCATCATCCCGGTCTACACAAACAGAAAGAATGGACTATTTACAAGCTTTATTTCTGTTTCTCGCGTTTTTACTATGCGCTAAACATTTCACTTGAACATGATATATCGAACATAATATATCAACATACGAGTTTCAGAGAAAATTTTTTTGAAATATGAAAATTGTAATATGAAAATTAATAACGTACCAAACTGGAGCCAGATATGATAGAACGAATTAAAGCAAATGTATTATATTTTTGCAAAGGCCAAACGCCTAATGGCAGAGTTAAGAGTTTGAAAGGAGTCATAGCGTATGCTACATCGTCATTCCATGTCATTATTGCAGTTAAATAGAGCTGCGCGTTGCACAGTAACTCAATAATACTGGTCCTTGTCCATAATATGGGCCGATCACGTTCGCTTTCGCGTTTATATTTTATTGGCGCATTACTATATAATACCTTATGATTTTTCAAAACACAGTTATTTTTAAAAATGAAGGAAACAATTTTTCTTTTACATGAAAGTAGAGTGGGATAAAGATCGAATTGAGAGAGGGGGATGCTTCATTTTCCAGTATAACATCTGTCATTGATCATGCTTCAATACTTTTATTTTGATATTATCTTTTTACAAAGAATATTATCTTTTTACAAAGAATACGTATAATTAACTTAAAATTTAGTGCGTCAGTTTTTTTCAGCTAATATGAATAGTGTTGTTAATATTAAAATTATTCGCAGACATTTCATATTTTGCTTTTGTTAAGTTCAACTTTGTTTGAATAGACGAATGCATAATGATTTTTAACTTTATTAAAATGTTACTTTACGTGTTATTAATTTTTTAGATGTCTTCATGTAAAGACTGTGATGTTAAAAAAAAAGTTAAAAAAAAGGATGTGTCATATCTATTATTTTGTAGTCGCTTAAGAGACTAATATTTTTTTATATAATAATGAAATAACTAATTCTGCTTTATTTTTACAAACAATCTATTGTTAGATTGTAAAATTATTTAAAGGAATACGAGATTAAATACGAATCAGTCGATATCAATAAACATTTATATTCTATTTTTTATTGGAAAAACTATTAGTATAGTGTTAAGATTTTGTTTACTTGACAGTTATCAAATTGTAAGCAAAATTATAATTTCGTAGTCGCAAATCACGCATTACTGCAGCTTCTTAAAATAATGTGAATTACGAATGATATATAATACGTTTATTAATATTATAGAGAAAACAATATTATTAACTTTAAGTTGATTATTCAATTTTATTGTTTAATTCCAGACATATTTCCAAATATGATGTTTTATAATAATTTTTTTATATAACAATAATATATTTGAGTGTGTGTTGAAATATTTTTTCGAGTTTTCTTCTCAATAGTTACCTGCATTTAATCATCCTCCATTACTCGCAGGACAGACAAGTACGAGAAGGAGCTTTTTAATATAGACATACAAGTTTCGATGGTTACGACGAAAAATCCGCCAGTTAACAATTGTATCTGCTCAGAAATATGTGAGGCCTTTATTATACAGTTTTAACGCTGGACCCAAATGATTTATCAAAAGAGATTGTCATAACAAAAACTCTCGATAGTTTACCATTGCCGTCCCAGAGATATCGATCAAATAAAAAATAATATATATTGTATTCTGGTTAGATTTAAACCTGAATCTTTGATATAGAGAGTAGACGTGTAATTTCTTTGGGCCAGGCGATTTACAATAAGGCAAATACGTTGCTAGTCGCGATATTTCACGACAGCCAATCAGAAACATCACTAATTACTATTGATGCTTCTAATTGGCTATTGCGAAGCATTGCAACTAGCGATGGTGTGTTTGTAACTTATATTATAGACCACGCTTTTACACAATTGTCAAATATGATGACAATACTATGATATTATTGATATTATAAAGAAAAAAATTTTATTTACTTCAATTTTACTATTCAATTTTATATTATGATCCTATAATAATTTCTTTTATAGAATGATATTGTTTACGTATGTGTATAGTGATACCTCTTCAAGTTTTCCTCTCATTTGTTACCTGCACTCTAGTCTATCATCACTCGTAAGACGGACAAGTATGAGAAGGAATTTTTTAATATGGACATATAAGTTTCAATGGTTACGACGACACATTTGCCCGCTAGCAGTTGAACAGGTTGCTGCGATCTCATGATGACGAATAAGACATTCCTCATTAATTTCAATGGAAAGTAGTACCAGTTACAGCTGTAGATCGAATGCGCGATATCTTCCATTTGACGTTTCAGATAATCGCCCACAAAACTATAAGAGAATAATTGTAACAATAGAGCGCTCAGCACAGATGTGGTTTTCATTATTATCACTGCGTCATGTAATTTCAATGCCAAAATTAATTGGAAACCTGAAAAACACATAATTAGATAACATGCACAAATAGGCAATTCTCTCTGGCATCATTGATATAGGAATTTTGATAAAATCCGATTTTATTATATTATTTTATTATATATTATATATTATATTATTAGGATATCACAAAATAAAATTATATAATATTTCTTGAATGTTTTATATAATTTTAACATAGTAGCTTTTTTGCAAAAAAAAATTTCATTTTTCTAGATAGAACGGCTTTTGTCCCGAAAAAGAGTAATAATGCTTATATCGCATAATAGGAGAGTTTAAGATATTTACCGACCAAACAAATAATAAGACAACTGATCAGCAATTGCACGAGCAAAACGAAGCTTATCACATCTATTAGAAGTTCCGCATGCTCCATTAAATAACAATGTCTAGATGTCAATGCTTCAAACTCTTTCATGTCTTTATTTTCTCCGTTATAATTGGTAAATTCGATTTTTAAAAGTTCCATTTGCCCGCAAATATGAAGAATAATTCCAAGGAGAAGTATATCATTGCCTTTATAAATAAATTATTATTATAAATTAAAATACATTATAAAATACATGAAAGTTTTAATAAAAACCATTATCAGTTAGAATCTGAGTTAAAAAAATAAAATGTTATTGCATTGAAATTGCAAGATAGATATACAATATGCATTAAGAAAAGAATTTCTATTGAAAAATAAAAACTTTTTTGATATTTAATATCAATGAAAGTAAATGTCTTATATAATTAAGTATCAAATGTTTTGTTAGTTGACAAAACTAAAATAAGTTAAAAATCTAAATATAAAAATTAAAAACTTATTACTAAATTTTTGAGGGGGCAACCACTCCAAAAATAAGTGTACACATGGACTTCGGACTTCATCGGACTTCGAGGAATTCAACGAACTTCTGATAGATTATACATCGAAATTCAAGAGTGGTTACACCCCCGCAAATTTTATCAAATGTAAAACGTTTAAAGTAACTATGCAAGTCTCTTAGATATTAACAAACAGTTAATTACCAACATTGCCGGAGCAATTTAGTGTCAATAAAATTATTGCACTATGAAAATCACATAGTATACATTTGTAGAGAGATGATAATTTCCTAATGTCCATGGTAAGGGCACAGGTAACTCCATTGCTAGATTTTTGACGGATACATTAACTTGGATGTCCTCATCATTGCCTAACATTGAACTAACTATTACAGGTATCAGAAACAAAATTGGTGCCATATAACCGAAAAATGAAATACTGTAACAAATCATCCTTCCCATGAATGCGTGCCGCCGCATGATCGTGCACTTATTTTCAGTATCGATCGCAATATAGTCATTGACAGCAGAAAAAAAATTGCGAATTAGATTATCGGCGTATATACGAAAAGACAACAATTTTAATATAGAGAGAATGTTGCAAAACATAAGCATAAGAGAATCGAGTTTTTCATATATACTGCCGTTACCGAAATTGATTTCGAGGAACAATAAAATCATCATTACGATCTATACAAACAGAAAGGATGGATTGTTTATTACCACATTAGAGCTTTATTTCTGTTTCTCGTTTTCACTGTGTAAATTACATTGTGCACCAAACTGGAATTGCCAAACTCGATAGGTCGAAAGTATAAATTATTATGAACGTACCAAACTGACGACACATACGACAGTACGGATTAAAGCAAATATGTTATATTTTTGCAAAGGCCAAACGCCTAGTGGTCAAGTTAAGAATTTGCTGGGAGTCATAGCGTATGCTACATCGTCCTTCCATGACATTATTGTAGTTAAGTAAGTAGAGCTGCACGTTGCACAGTAATATCGGCCTTTATGCATAATACGAGTCATCAGCGACATTCTCTTTCACATTCATATTTTATTTCCGACGCAATTTTAATATTTACTGAAGTAATTTGTTATTTTCCAAAACACAGTTATTTTGAAAATTGAAGAAAACAGTTTTCTGTAGAAGTAAAGGGGATCAACTCGAGGAAAGAGGAAATTTCATTTTTCTTCTAGTGTATCATCTGTCATTGGTCGTGCTACAATACATTTTGTTCGGATACCATCTTTTTATCAAAAGATCATATGATTTGTTTAGAATTTAATGTGTTTGTTTCTTATCAACACGAGCAGTGTTGTTAGTGTCACTAAAAGTATTTGAAAACATTTCATATTTTGCTATTAATATCTTTAATTTGATTGAATAAATGAATGTTTTGTGATTTTTAAGAATTCTATTAGATGTATATATATTATTATTATTCTAGATATCTTTAAGTGAAAATGATAATAAATTGATCATATAAAACAATATTTATACTGCAATATCTATATAATTTCGTAATTACTTCAATTTAAAGGAATACCCTACAACATATTTAAAGGGCAATAAAGTGTAACCTAAACTACATATTTATCAGATTTTGTGTTAATTTAACATATTATAAATATTAATATTTTATTTAAAAGTTTTTTTTTTATGAAACGTGGGGAAGGAGAAAATAAAGCTCAAATTGAAGGAGAGGCTGCAAAAAAATGTTTTATATATACAGGGTGTTCGAAAAATTGCCCGTAATACTTCGGGAAGTTATTCGGGATGCAAAAAGAAGGAAAAAAAGATATAAAAACATAGATCCGGAAAGAAGTAGTTTCCGAGTTATAATCATTTTTATGTTAAAAAAAATAATAATTTATTTTTCATAATCACAATCATAATTCATTTCATAATATTTTAACATAAATAATTACATTTCGGACGATATTTGGGCGTTATCCAAGATGCACCACGTGGAGGCATAATCCATTTGGCATTCCTCTTTTTTTATTTTTTTTATTTTTTTAAAATTTTTTTTACCGTACTAGAAGGAAGCGGATTATGCCTCCACGTGGTACATCCTGGGAACATTAAAATAGTTCGAAATGAAGTTATTTATGTTAAAATATTATACTATGAAATGAAATTATGATTGTAATTATGAAAAATAAATTACAATTTTTTTTAACATAAAAATGATTATAACTCAGAAATGATTTATTTTCGGACTTATGTTTATATATATATATATATAGCTTTTTTTTCTTTTTTTTGGGCGAATAACTTCTCAAAGTATTGCAGGCGATTTTCCAGACCGTGTATATATGGATATATTTTATATATAATTATAAGTAATTATATATAATTATATACAACTTTATATACAACTTTATATACAACTTTATATAATTATATATAAAACATTTTTTTCCCGGGAGATGTTTCATATTCTTTTCAGTGCATCGTTTCTCATGTTGCAATCTCTTTTCTTCAATACCATTTTTTTTTATCAAAGATACGTACAAGTATATGTATAATAATATGGCTTTATAATGACCGATATGATTGGTACGACTAAAACCAATATTTCGAAATATTTTTGCACGAGCACAATACTATGATTAATTTAGAATAGTGCAATAGTTTCTTAGGATGCGTTCTCGGGAAGCTTGCTACCACACTACCAACGTTAACGCTACTATCTCTTAACGCAAGATTCTTTAGATTCTGCTAGATTTCTTTCGTTTTATGCAAAAACGCGTTGAAGCCTAATTTTATTGATTTTTGAGTTAAACTGTATAATTACAAAATATTGGACAACCATAACATTATCATTTTTTGCATGGACTCGATTTTAATATATAACTTTCCTGTAACTCTTTATCACGCAATTCCATTTTCACGTAATCCATTTTAAAAACTAAGTGTAACGAATACTATTGCGATTATTAATTTCGAAGTATCAGCTAACAATGTTCATTTCAGTATTCACTACGCTATCGCTGCTCATAGAGCACACGAATGCTACGCTATCAATGCACTATCTCTTTAGTGATAGCATTTGTAGCGCGAAGTTGTGACGTCAAACGCTGACGCTACTAACAGTGTCGTCACGATAATTTTATAGTGCTATCAGTTAACTCCTCGAGCAGAGATAGCGCTGCATAATATTGGTAATGAGCTCCCCAAACGTACACTTAGACAACATAAGTAATATTGTTAGCAATACTAAAATTATGCAAATATATTTCATATTTTGTTGTTATACGATATTTTTAATTCGTTTGAATAGATAAATCGTGATTATAATTAAAACAATTTTATTAAAATTATCTCTCTATGTATGTTATTATTTCTATAGATATTTCTATAGATATTTTACGTGAAAAATTGTTTATTATATGCTTCTGATGCTTTACGCTTCTACCATTACGCGTAAAACAGATAAATATGAAATAGATGTTTTTAAAATGCTCATGTAAGTTCCCAAATCTACAACGAAGTATCCAGCTTGCAGTTTAATCGGAAGCTGAGTCCACATCATGATAAATACTATATTTTTTGTTACTTTTATAGGAAGATCATACCAAAAACTGTGATAAACAGACTGCGCGACTTCTTCCATCTTTGTCTTTAAATAATCTCCGACAACACTATATAACGTTAATTGTATCAGAAAGGCGCTAAGTACCAAAAAGCTTTTTGACATCATACCATAGTCGTTGGTTGTTAAGGCAATGATAAATTGAAATCCTGCAAAAATACACATAATTAATGTAAATTTTATAATATTTCATATTTTTTTTATTAATTCATGAGCATATCAAATTGATGCATATTTACCTATTATAATTATAAGCATACTACTGATAAAGAGTTGTACCATCAAAACGAATCTAATTATTTCAGCAAGCTTTCTGGTCATTCTTATCAAATGATCATGTCTCAAAATTAATGTGTTAAAACGTTCATAGACTTTCGGACTTGTTACGTCAAAGTTAATAAAATTTGCTTTTAAAATTTCCAGTTGGCCGCACACGTGTAATACAATATGAAGAAATACAGAATCACTACCTGTAAACATTATAATTAAGAATATGTCGTAAGGATGTACAACTATCAACTATAATAGATATATTAAAATTTTAGGAGTATTTATGAAAATATTTAATATTTGCAAAATTCAGTATTTTATTAAAATGGACGTAGAAATTTATTTCATATACGTTTAATAAATGAACAAAATTAGATGATTAAAAATGGTTTTATTATGTAATCAGGAATGTAAAAATTAATTATATGGCAGAAAAAACTCAATCCATAAAATCATAATTTTAATAATTCAGCTAGCCCTTTTCATAATTAATAAGTGAACTAATAAAATATTTTTGCTTATTGTACTTCTCTGCCATCATAAAATTAATATTATTTAGATAAAAATGTAACATGTATCCCCAAGGTAAAGATAAATACAATTTATAATAAAAAAATTAATTTTTTGTTATTCCTGATACAGGTGACTAAATAGATAATTAATATTAATTGCTTACAGATTTAAATCTCTATACACCGCGTCAAGATTGTGATCATTGTAAAGCTTTTAATACTTTGATTTTTTTATTTGATTATGTTTTATGTTTTGCTTTTGGTTAAATTTATTTTATTTTTAAATTTTTGGATATTAAATATTACGATCATAACTTTGAAATTTTTTCTGATAGTGATTGTTCAGAATTCAACAGTTAGGGCTAGGTATTATAATAGTATACCTAAACTAATAATTATGATTTATAGAGTTTTTTTCTTATCTAATAATTATTTTTTATATTTTTAATGATAATAAAATACAAAAAAAAGTTATTTTTTGAAAATCCAAAAAGAACGGTTTTACTGATTCCTCCTTTGCATTCAAAATGTAATTACATGGATTATAAAGTTTATTAATAAATATTTATTAAATATTTCCAACGCATTTAAAATTATATATATATATATAATTTTAAATTCGCTTTGTAATCTATGTAATTACATTTTGAATGCAAAAGAGGAATCAATAAGGCCCTCTTCTTTTTGGACTCTCAGGATTTTCAGAAAATAATTTTTTTTTGTATTTTATTATCATTAAGAATATAAAAAATAATTATTAGATAAGAAAAAAATTTGATCTATAAAATCATAATTATTAGTTTAGGTATACTACTATGATACCTAGCCCTAACCGTTAAAATATAAATTAATATTTTGTAAAAATAACTACGTAAACATCAGGCAATGACCTACCGTGATTGCTAATGCACATGATTACTAAGTAGATGTACTGCAGTATAAAAATCATCAAATATAAACCCGTTGAAATGTGAAAATGTGCCAAGGTACATGTTGACGGAATAGCATATCCTGCTTGATGGCCCAGAATAGTTATATTAATTTTGGCTTCCTCACTGCTTAGTTGTGCGTGTCCCACGATGAAGATTACCGAATCGACGTAAGAGATCAATAAGGTGATAATGCAGATTATCCTTCCCCAGAAAGCATGATTTCGCATAATAATGCGTTTCTCCTCGGTGTCGATTGTAACATAATCGTTCATAGCAGAAGAATAATTGCAAATCAGATTATCAGCATATATACGAAACCATATTATTTTTGTTAAAGCAAGAATACCACATGAAAAGACCGTGAGGGCGTCAAGATTCGCAGTTGCGCTTGTGCAATTGTAATAGAGTTCGAGATACTGTACGATTACCACCACACTCTGTACATAAAATAAAAATGGATCTATTTACTGAGATTCGACTATGAGCAAAATAAAATATCGATATTCCATAATAAATATTCACACATCGAAGGCATAAGGAGAAGAAAAATTTCACGACATGAAAATTAGAAACATACCAACCCAAAACTAGATAAGATATGACGCAATAAAGCGAACTTATTGTATTCTTGCAAGGGCCAAGCACCTATGGGTACAGTTAAGTGTTTGACAAGGGTCATAGCGTACGCTATATCGTCATTCGATGACATTATGGCAGTCAAGGAGAGATATACTGTATTCACGAATGTCAGTCTTTGTCCATAATGTAATAAAATTCGCGTTCGCATTCATATTTTATTGAAGTGTAGGCACCATTTGAATACTTATCCGTATTCTCTGTTATTTTCCGAAGTACAGTTGTTCAGAACAATTGATGTAAACCTATTTTTATGAAAGTACAAAAGGGTAAAAAACAAAAAGAAAATGGAAAGAGAAGAGAAAGTTTTATTTTTGTTTCGATATGTTGTCTTCGATACGGCTGTCATGTGTTGTCAACGTTATAATGTAATTTCTCCTGCAATACATTTTTTCATAAAGAAAAGTATAGAGAGTATGGCACAGTTTTTAATTCAATTTATCAATTCATAAATCATCGCTAAATAATTAAAATTTTTTTTTACGTGCATATTTTGTTAATGATGCGCAGTTTTAATATCCAACAACTCATCAAGTATTTACCAATTCGTGTAAAACAGATAAGAAATAAGGATTTTTAAATTTTGTTTTCATTTATTCAGGTTGAGATTTTTCGATAATTTTTAATTTGATAAAATGTTGTCCTCACATCATAATAAAGACTATATTTCTTGTCACATTTATAGGAAGATTATAAGTGTTTAAAAAAATGCTGTATATAGATTGTAAAACAAAAAATAACAAGTATATACAAATGTATATACGTAACAAATATATCCCTTGGTTAAGAGCAGTTGAAAGTAATAGACAGTGTAAGGTACTGAAATATAATATACTATATATTTTTTATTTTACTTATTAACATATATCGTTTTTTATACCGCAGGAATTATTGAGGATTTTCTGATTTGTTAATTGTCACCTGTAAAAACGATATGTATGTTAAGGTGGTTTTCAAGATATCTGTCATAGTGTTTCGCGTAAGATAGAAAAATTTTCCGGCACTAATTCGAAGAGGAGTCTTCATTCTCATCATAATGAATATCAGATCTTTCACCATGACAGGTGACATTTCGTCCCATGCGATGCTGTATATAGTGTAGACAATTGACTCGCTTCGATTCTTCAAAGTATCGCCGGCATACGTATACAAAAAGGTTTGTATCATATAAAATTGAATGCACATGAACATTTTTATCATTTCCTTGTAATCTTGTTGCTTGATTGATAAAAGAAGCTCTACTCCTGAAAACACGCAATTCTTCGAATTATGAATGTATTATGTTAATTTAGATTTTTAGACTGGATGTATTTTACGCATTAAAGTATTTCATAATAAGTTTTATAATTTTTATTAATATTTTATTATTTTTTATATTTGATACTTTAATCTTTCTTATTATGAATTTTACTTTAAACTTTAAAAGTAATTCAATAATTCTAATTACATAAATGTATTGCGAAACTGTTTTTGCAATTTTTACTGGCAAGTTTTAAGATATAATTTTATGCTTTTGTAATATATCATTCAACATAGATCAATATAAAATCAAAAAGATTTAGATACATACCTGAGGTTGCAATAACTACGCTAATTATTAAAAGTCGTAGTAAAATGTTGATATTAAAAGCATCTTCAATATTCCTGGTCAATGCTATCAACTGGCAATGTCTTTTGACCAATGGTTCTAAAACATTTCTATGACGCTTTTCGTCGTAATGTATCTTGTTAATCTTCGTAAATTGTATCCCCAAAAGTTCTAGTTGACCGCAAAGATGCATAGTAATGCCGAAGAAAAAACTGTCGCAAGCACATTCTGATATCAATATCAAAGCTCCTTGTATTACTTGCATTATAAACAATATTTTGTACGTGGAATACGAAATCTCTTTGTACAGACACGTTGATGGAATGACAAAATTCCACGTAGCTACAGTATCATTATCTATAATTGCAGCCTGTAGAATGTATTAATTTTTACAAAATAAAACATTTCTGTTAAAATAAATTTCAATTTTACTCAACAATAATCTTATAAAAATTTAATACAACCTCTTGTTTATTGCTGAGGAAGACGGATATGAACCATAAGGAGCATGCTGTTGTTCCAACGATTAAGTGAGTCAGGGCGATTAGACGTCCTGCACGTGCATATTCCATCATCACCATGCGCGACTCTTTTTTCATAGACGAAGACGACCAGTCGTCGATCGCGGAATTGAGATTAATGGCAATCTTTTTCATGTAAATTCGTAGAAAAACAATGTTCGACCATGCATGCATACAGCTTTCTATTAGACGAAGAATATCCAAACCGTCTCTAACAGCATCACAGCTCTTGAAAGGTTCTACCAGCACGTTGATCATTGTGAGAGACTGCACGGTAGCAAATATAAAATTGCATTCTCATGTGAAGTTGCACTACATCAAAAACAGTAAATATCGAGAAACGACGTTTAAACTGTTTATAAAATTTTCAATCATCAATTGTTCTTTATGCTTAAATTATGATTAATTATAATAAATTATTGTGTATAATATGTATCTTTCAATGTATTATACTTTATATATTTTTTTATATATGCATGTCATTTCACGTATTATAGAATTTATTCCAATCACATACAAATAATAGACTTAATTACTGGACAATTTAAAGTTAAAATTCTTATAATTTTCAACTTGACTGAAAAAGATTTCAGTAAATGCAGTGCTGTTTACCTTAATTTTTATATTAAGAAATTGCTTTTTTTTTCTCTTACCATTACAAGTAGCTAATTTCTACATTGTTATCTTACATTATGTTACGTTTACCCCTGCTATAAATATTATGAACCACTGAATCGTGTAAACTACATTATCCTGCTGTAAAGGCCATAAACCAAGTATCCACATCATCGATTTTATCGTAGAGAAACCATAATCTATATCACTGTTCCAATTTGTCTTCATGTTCGGCAATGTATTAGTTGGTTTCGACCTCAAAAAGAAAAATTGTAGTCCTGCGTGACCGGATATTGTTCGGGTCGATGGCTTACTTTTGCCCCGAAGCAAATTACTACGTCTATATGCATCTAGTCCTTCCGCACTGACCAACCTTTAGGGTGGTAAGATAAGTATATGATACAAATTTGTGTCTCTCTACCGCATCTTTCGAATGCCTGCGAGTAATGCGCACAATTTTCATGTATACTGTTGTGTCAGCGCATAGACATAGATACTCGCGGTCAATTACGAGTTGAATGATGATGTTCTGTATATAGTAGGTTTACGTTCCTTTTCCACGAATAAAATGTTTTTTGTTGTATCATCTAAGCGACGTAGTGAATAAAGTAAAAAAAAAGGTCTGAAGCTATCTATCGGCAGTATACGTGCGACAAAGTAGAAAAAGTTATGGTTATAAAAGGAACAATGAGTTTCTGTGCATTTCTGTTCAAGGAGCATTGCTAAATAATTACTTTTGACAATAATTACTAAAATAATAATAATAATAATACTATAGTAATAAGTATTATTATTTACTTAAAAAATAGTAATTAAAATTACTTATTTTTTATTTTTTATTATTTAATATATATATTTAAAAGTATTTTAATTAAATCTTTTTTACATAGTGTTAATTTTTATATGATTTTTATTCTGCAAGTTCTAGGCATCTATCATAAGTCGGATTGGATTCCTATTGGAATTATTCAATTATTCTCTAGATTTCTATTGTGCTTTCTAGGAAAAACGGAATAATTCTGATGGGAATTCATTCCGACATGTTCCATGATAGGTACCCTAATTAGATTTATTGATTTTTTATTAATCTTTTAGCGCCATTCGTAAAACTGAAATATATGAAGCTGCCGTCTTCAGAATGTACACAATTGCCTCGCAATTGGTGTAGAAAAATTTTCCACCAGTGAAACGAAACGGATAGCTTGACCTCATCATAGCAAAGTTCAAGTCCTTCATCATCGTTGCGGGAAGTGTAAACCAGGAAGCCTTAAACATTGCATGGAATATATCTTCACTTCCTTTTTGTATAAAATCACCGCCATAGCAATACAACAGCGATTCCATAAGCATATAGTTTAAAACTAGAATACTTTTCATTAATTCGACATAATAGTGATGTTTTAAACAAAATATTATACGTAATCCTGAAAGAAACGAAAAGATGAAAACTTAAAGATTAATATAATATAATACGATTAAATTTTTAATCACAATAAAATATTGTATAATACAATATATTTAAATATATCTTGATAAAAAATAAGAATTTATAAAAAAATCATTAAATTTACAATAAATTCGACATACATGTTTGATACGATACCTAATAGCGCGAGCAGAAGCGTTACTATAACAAGTTGGAATAATATAATCAGATTGAACGTATCTTCTAAATTCTGATGGAGTTCTGTTAATTCGCAGTGCCTGTTAATCAAGCTAATAAAGCGTTTCCGATGATTTATCTGAGTGTCTGGTTTGCTTGCAAAATTTTTAAATTTTTTTTTTAGTACTTTAAGTTGACCAGTGAGATGTAGAGTAACATTAATATAAAAACTGTCTCCAATAGGTTGCATTATACATATCATGAGTAATTGAACAGTTTGAAAGCCGATGACCATCGAGTATTGTAAGCCGTTAATTTTATTACCGAATTCGCCACATGGAATTATAAATAGCCTATCTGTTGCATTAACATTACCTGTATACAATAAGAATATAATTCTTAAGAACAATAATATAATTCAGATATTAGAATAAAAAAGTTAAAGTTAAAAAAAATAAAATAATATAATAAACATAGAATTAAAGTTTTAATGCTTTTTGTTTAAACATTTATAAGATTTTAGTAAGAAAATTTTAATTTAGATTATGTCTACCCATACAGGGTCACCAGTAGTTACAATGAAACCAACGCGTAGCCAACGCTACGACTGTCGACTAACGCCAAAGTTCTGTCAACCAATACTGAGCAAACGTCATTGGCAAATAATTGACTAAAATGATTGAACCAGTACTATCTGCCAGTACTGAGTCCAAATTATCATCCAGTACTTAGGCCGTACTGGACTAATAGTTTGTCAGTATCTGAACCGTGGCAACCAGTAATGGTCCAGCATTGGGTCGATTGTAACCCCATATGGGTATTTTATTAAATGGAAAACTAAACGATAGTTATTTATATGATTGCATATATTTTGTATGTTTTTTTCTTGAAATCTAGAGTAGAAAATTCAATACAGTAACAAAAAAATAATTTGCAAAATAAATTTATTTCTAATACACTCTAAGTACAAACCAAACGTTATTTGTTATCATTTTAATGTCAAAATGTAACTAAAAACATCATTTTTATTAACATCAAAATGACAACAAACTCTAAACGTCGCCTTGCTAGGACAGTACTGAATAATAAAAAATATACAGACTTTTTTATTTTTTAGGATAATTCCTAATAATTGTTATTAACATTCTAACATGTTCATTTAAACATTTATTGGATAATAATTCAACAAATATTCCAAAAACATCACATTACCATTTGATACGTTCATCATTTGATCTTGTAAAAATATTTCTATTAAGTTCATAACTAAGACGGACAGCAGATAGAGGGAACCACATACGAAAGATGAATACAACATCAAAAGAGTATACAATCTGGATTTAAATGCATATTTCTTCATGATTTTATACGATTTCTCATCATTCTTTGCAGACACCCAATCAGCAACAGCAGCCTTAATGTTTTTAGTTAACTTTCCTCCGTTGGCAGCAATAGCGATATATTTCAAATTTAAATTCAATGTACATGAAAGATATATTATGGCATCTATATTTGATCCGGTATCACCATTATTTCCAGTGAATTCCATAAACAGGAAGATGAGTGGTGAAAGCTAATAATGATCCCATTGCCTTAGAAAATATGCATGTATGTGTAAAAATATATTCATACTTAAAAAGTTCGCGTTATTTACGAAGACATTTAATAATTTTTTTGTGCATAAATTTGTTCTTAAATTTGTTCTTAAATTTAATAATTCGTATTGTTCAGTATATTTATTCTCTTTCTGTTGCAACGTGTTTTTACAATTTCTTCCTTGTCAATGTACTATTAACGTACCTGTAGAAATATCATTACGTTCCATTGGATTATCGTGACTATCGTCCTCTTTTGTAACGGCCATATACCGAGTATTTGCATAAATGTTCTATGAGTAGAGAACACATAAGCGATATCATCATTCCAAACATCATCCGACATTATAGTGATCACACAAACTACGCGGATGACTGAACATTCGAAACTGTTATGGGTGCAATTTTCGATGTCGCAAATTCAATGTCAATTTACAAACGTTTTTGTCATAAAACGTTATTATAGGTACAATAATGCAAATTTTATGTCAATTTACGAATGTTGTTATGAAACATTACTATTGGGTGCTTTTGATGTCGCAATTTCAATGTCGATTTATGAACGTTATCATGAACATTACCATGGAATATGCAGATAAGACATTATTATCACCATTAGGCTCATGTTTTATTAGTTTGTACAATGCATGATGAATGGTAGTAAGATAAATGTGAAAAAATACTAGTACGCATGTCTACATCTTCCACAATCCTGCAGTACGAGCGCAATAGAAAAAAGATCGTGTTAGTAGTGATGTCAAAAAAATGTGCGTTGTTCAATATAAACGATAAATTAATTCAGAATTTGAAAGTTATGTAGTATATTAATAAAAATGTAAAATCTGTTCTAATTTGATTCATAATGTTGATATATTATTGTATTTCAAGACAAGATTCGTAATGCAGTCTTATTTGTGACATGGGATTTTGAGTTTCGATAGAATATTTAAAAAAACCATCTTAAGCAGTACATTGCAATGATTCTACTTAACAATTGGATATTCAAAATTATATATAAAGGATAAATGGTAAAATAATCATTACGTTTAAAATATGTTAGTAAAGTATAACGAGTTAATAATATGATATTTGCAATTACTGATAACTTAACAATTTAACATAATAAAAATAAGTTTACAGGAGTAGAATAAAAACAAAAAAAATTTTTTTTGTAAAAAACATATAGATATTAAAGTGATAATTTCTTACAAGCTCTTTCGAGTATATATTTCTGAGACTTTTTTTATGAGAAGAAATAATCGATTTTCGGCACAATTAGACGATTATATTGTGATTGCAAGAGCAATTTTATTAAAATAATATTCTAATAATCTTTTATTTCTACAAAATTTTCTCTTGTCAAACATAATTCCAAATCGTAGATTTGTACTTTGTAAAGTGTTTTCATCATGAGTATTATATTTTATATTTCTATCATTACACGTAACACAGATAGATACGAAATAGAAGTTTTCAGGATACTCATATATGTTGCCAGGTTTACCACAATAAAATTTCCAGCCAGCAGCTTGGCGGGAGATCGTGTTCTCATAATGATAAAGATTAAATTTCTCGCCAATTTCGTAGGAAGATCGTACCAATTGCTTTGATAAATGAAAAATCCAACTTCTTCCATTTGGGACTTCAAGTGATCGCCGATAAAGCTATATATGGACAACTGTGTTAAGAAGGTACACAATACCATAGCGCTTTTCCCCATAACAACAACGTTATGTGTTTTTAATGCTAAGATAAATTGAAAACCTGAAAAATTATTTATCTACTTAAGATTCTTGTAACATACATATTTTGAATAACTTTATAATATCACAAATACAATATTTACCCATTATACACAATAGAATGCTGCTAATAAATAACTGCGTTAGCAAAACTATACTGATCGATTCGGTCAATTCCTTGGCCAATTCTATCAGATAGTTATGCCTCCGAATTAGATCATTGAAACGATCGTACACTTGCGGACTTGAGACAACAAAGTTGACGAAATTGGCTTTTAGAATTTTTACTTGACCGCACATATGCAATGTAATATTGAGAAACAAAGAATCATTACCTTTATAAAAAGAAAAAAAAGAAATACAATGATACAAATTTCATTAATATAATAAAAAATACATATACAGAATAAATCTCGGGAATCTTACAATTTTCAAATGAAATAACATTACAAAACATAATTTAAATATTAATTGTTTCTTATATAACAATAAAAAATAAAGAGTGCTATTTGAGTATTGGACATAGCAGTTCTATTAATTCTTTAATATGATTGGTTCTTGCCTTTAGTTCTTTGCTAGATCTAAATGTAAAGATCAATTGAAACAAAACATTTTATTTTCTGTTGTTATACAACAAGAAATTAATATTTACGTTATTTTATATTATTATCATATTTGAAAAATTGTAAAGTTCCCGTAGCTTATACCCAATAATATTTTATTAAATTCTTTATATTATCTTTATCTACAGAATTACATCTTGTTTTTACATATAATGTTTTTATAAATATATTTTTTGCTGTTCTCTATATGTATCATATATGTTGTTCTCTAAAACTTTTAGAGTGAATCTTTATAATTTAGCAATAAACAATTAATAATTGCTTCAATAAAGTTAATAAAATATTCGGATGTAATTTTGTGTTTTGATTCTGGCATACTTTAAATAACATTACATGATCGAAAGATGTAAAAAAATATATATATATATATTAAGCAACAAATAGATTTTACCATGATTACAGGTACACGTAAGTACTAGCACAATAAACTCGAAGATACAGATAAATTCATACATGCTCCTTGGGACATGCAAATATTCTAACGCGCATCTTGACGGCATTGGATAGTCCAATACTATGTCTTCATTTGTTCTGTTGATTTGGACATCTTGATCATCAACCAGATCTTCACCAAGAAGAGGTATTAGCGAATATATCGTCACACTAATGTAAGAGAAACACACCATAAAACAGGAAAGAATTCTTCCCATAAAAGCGTGTTTTCGCATGATGGCACGGTATTCTATGTTTTTAATTGTCAAATAATCATTCCGGGCAGAACTGTAATTGTCAGTTAAGTTTTTCGCGTAAATACGGAAACATATAGTCTTGAACACTCCGAGTACACCGCAACAGGCTAACATGAGACCGTCTATATTCTGCTCCGTGTTAGTACAGCCCATGTGAAACTCCATGGAAGGCAAGATCACTATTATGCTCTGTTGATATGCGTAAATGGTATATTTTCACAATCGAACAGTTTCGATATCTAGGAAAAATATGCACCAATTCTAGATCGATGGATCTTTGAAAATATTAAAATTTAATTATAATTATAATTTTTAGAATTGGAGCAAATAAACTTTCATTTTATAGTTCTCTATGTATATATGTAAAAATACATTAGAATTATCTGAATTAATTCAAAGATATGCAAAATTGAACACTTTTTTAAACTTTAATATTAAAATATTTACAAAGCAAATATACTATATGATAGATAATATAACAGTTATATAAATTTTTCCGTGCTATAAATAAAAATTTAATAGAAATAATATCAATGAAAATCTTTTTTCAATTTTATATATAAATTTTATTTATCTAACTTATTTTCTGTGTATGCGATTTATTCTTTCTGATGATATATTACCAAAAATGTTACATCAATGCGATTCTTTAATACGAATGACGAAGTCAATGACAAAGTAAACAACATAACACATCTCTAGAATTTTTTAGAAATAGTTATATCATCCTTCACATAAACAAGAAATAAATCATAAGTCCTAAGTAGAAATATCTTCATTGCACAATTTACAACGGTTAATGATTTGTGCATCTATGATATTCTCTATTAATGACTTATTATTAAAAAAAAACTCGTTTTTTTCCTAAAAAAAAACACAATTTCGTAACGTCATCACTAATAGGATACCTATCGCTTAAAAATTCAAACACTGGATATTGTAATCGATATCAATGAAGATTTATTTTAATTATTATGTTAACGTAAAAGTTCTATCTACGTATCGTGACAAAAATCGTCGAAACTGAGACGATACCATGCAACAAGTGACCAAGACACATCGTATTAGCGAATAGATGTTATAAACTTGAAGTGGCCAAACGCCGATGGGCCACGTTAACAGTTTGAAGGGAGTCATCGCATAGGCGACATCGTTCTTCCATCGTTCACTTGCCATCAGGTCGATGTAATAACCGTAACTGATGCCAATAACCAATAATGTGCTCGGTGCATCGACACAACGCAGGTATTACGATTCATTTTTTATTCAACTTGAAACATATACATGCTTATCAATCTATCTTCGCTGTCTTAACGCATTATCAGAAAGTGCAAGATATTATGCTTTTATGCCAAATTGTTTTTGAAGAATTTATGTAAGCACTTCTTCTAAGTTGTTACGAACATTGAACTATATCCTTTTCTACATGGAGAAACCGACCGTTTACTTGAACAATTCAGTTACTATGTTATTCTCTGTGTAGTTCTATTTCAGTTTCGCAATGCAGACGCAACGATGTCGATCGAATTTCATGAATTTTTCTGTTCAAAAGTAATATAACAAGTGAGTCATACATGTTTCGTTTTTATTTCGTAAGTCAAAAAATTAAAATCAAAAATTAAAATTTTCTAAACTTTAATTAAATATATTTATGTTTCTAACAGTATTTATGAACAATCATAATTTATAATACAGAAAAATAAGAAGCCGAGACTTTCAGAATATTTTTAAGATTTTTAAGATTTTTATTAAAATTTATAATATATATAATAATATAGAATTTATTTACTCTTATACGAATGGATTCTAGCACGAACGATTATAAAGTATACACTCTCGCAGAATATTTGTAGGCGAATCATACTTAAGTAAATCGTATGAGAAATTGCATTTTTAAAAACAGAGTTTCTTTCTGTGTAAGAATAGCTGATATAGCTATAAGAATATGCTTATCATTATAATGTATTAAAAGAGATTATACATTTTGTGACAAAAAAATTCACAATTTACTAACGACAAATTGAGCTATAATTCTGAACAAGACTTGATATTTAACTATCTATTTTTGCAATAATTAATCTTACTATTATTCTTTTTTAAATGATTGGATGTAAAACGAGCACCTGTGATAAAGGATTTATATTGGAAAGAAAGAAATATATAGTTTGTATTAAATATATTATCTATTAAATATATAAGCAAAGCATGAAGAATTAGTTGTCCAAATGACTATATCAATAATGTCTTCGGTTAGCCTTGCTTTAAAAGCAAATAATATCTCTCGATTAGCATAACTATTTCATTTGTTTCCAAAATCCGTTTTTCCTAAATCTTCGTGGAACAGCAACAGCTCTATATGTAATAGGCTGAGCACTTCCAATTGACTACAGAGATGCATGCAAACACCGAAAAGAAAACATCAATGCCAACATTCCCCGTAGATGTACTGATTAACTAAAAAAAAGAAATATATATTAAAGGATACATATATTGTAGCAAATGATGAAGCATTGAACAAACAGATCATCTCTTGAGGCAGTTCCATGCTCATTTTTTTCAGATTTGAAGTTATAAGATATGCCGTTTTGAGAAGAAGGCGACATCGCAAAAGATAGAAATGACCTAATCAATGGTATAATAAAATATGAAAAATTATCTGAAAGAAGAACAAATTTGCCTATATGTTATATAAACTACCATAACAGTATATCGTCATAAAATAAATATGAAGAAGTATATAAAATATATTCAAAGAATATAAGTATATTTTTATTAGAAAATTTTACTCGGTTTATCTATAAACAACAGTGTACAGAATTAAAAATTATTCTATCTCAAGGAAAAAAATATATAAGTACTGAAACTTACAATAAACATATACTAATTTATACACAAAAGTGAGTGTTTATATACCTATCTCTCAAAATAAAGAGGATCTTTTTATGTGCTCGCTTGTGTCCAAAAAAACATAATATGTATTTCATATGTTAGAGAAAATAATTTATTAATAAATAAGACAATTTTACTTTTAATTGAATAACTTTTGCTTGTATAACTCTGCAATTTATATTATCAGAAACAACAATTTAGATAATTGATAGCACATTTTGACGATTAGATTAATCTTCGATCTAAAAAAAATAGCGCGCAATTTTATCAAATTTCTGCCATGATCGAACTGCCACGTTATTCGCTAGCCAGAAAATTTATTCAATATTTTTTCTACAGTTTGCATGACGCTATACATTGCATACATTAATGATTACAATGTCATCGAGCGTAAGCACCAGCTAACGCAGTTCATACTTTCATTCATTACTTATCGATTGGAACGCATTTCGCTATGCACTCCGACGTTGAATATTTCTGTAGCTTTGCGAATTTGTAACCATTGCACATGGCCGGAAGTGACTATTCGTCATATGTAATTCGTAAAAACCTTATAACTCTAATACGTGACATTAATTTAACAGCTTAATGATAGAGCATATGTCAATTTCTCATATAGAGTCCCTTTGACCCTTATACAAGGGCAGTGGAACGAAGTACTACTTTTTTTCTTCAAACTTTCTGATGATTCTTAATATTTAAGTAAAGTGCACATTGATATAATTTATACTTCCGAAACTATCATTTTCTATAATATTTTCTAGTCATTTTTTCATCAATTAAGAATATATATTTTTAGTTATAAACAATTTCAAACCAAAAACGCAATTTAATAAATAATATTGTTTATGTTACGTATCCTGCAGATTTTCAGTACTGATAGTGTATATCGAAACACGGTTTTACTTTCATCATGGGAACCCTATTTTGGAGACTCGACTTAAAAAAAAATCATTTTACTGGAACAGTTGTGAAAGATCACATAACGCTATGCTTATTATGCATAGTCTATAATACACGGAGTAAGAAATAAGAGTAAGAAATTAACCAATAACAGTCGAATGTGAAAATTGTAATCGATTATGATTGTGATCAATTTCTTACTTTTTCTTCTTATTCCGTGTATTGTAAACGACGCATTCGCCTGTACGGTTCTTACTTATGAGAAAGTAAATCCCGCTGTCTCCATCTATCGGCAATATCTATTACATGGACGCTATTCTAGAAAGTAAAGAAAAACTATAGAATAGAATAAAAGACATAACATTTTAAATTTTTTGAAACATTTAATAATAAAATAATAGTAAAATAATGTTTTGAAGACAAGCCTCCAAAATAAAGGTAAATAAAGTGTTTTTAATAGTATAATTTCGTCGATTAATATAATTTAATATAAATACTGATAACTTAATAATTTAACATAATAAAAATGAATTTATAAAAGTATAGAATGAAAACAAAAACATATTTTTATAAAAAACATATAGGTACAATATTAAAGTGGTAATTCCTTACAAGACAGCGTATCTTTTTCAAGTAAGTATATGTTTCTGAGACTTTCTTTGAGAAAAAATAATTGATTTTCGGCACAATGAGACGATTATATTGTGATTGTAAGGGCAATTTTATTAAAATAATATTCTAATAATCATTTATTTTTACAGAATTTTCTCTTGTCAAACTTGTCAAACATAATTCCAAATCGCAGATTTGTACTTTGCAAAATGTTTTCATTACGAGTGTTATATTTTATGTTTCTATCATTACACGTAACAGAGATAGATACGAAATAGAAGTTTTCAGGATACTCATATATGTTGCCAGGTTTACCACAATGAAATTTCCAGCCAGAAGCTTGGCGGGAGATCGTGTCCTTATAATGATGAAGATCAAATTTCTCGCCAATTTTGTAGGAAAATTGTACCAATTGCTTTGATAAATGAAAAATCCAATTTCTTCCATTTGGGACTTCAAGTGATCGCCGACAAAACTATATACGGACAACTGCATTAAGGAGGTACACAATACCAAAGCGCTTTTCCCTATAACAACAACGTTGTGTGCTTTTAATGCTAAGATAAACTGAAACTCTGAAAAATTATTTATCTTCTTCAGATTTTGGTAACATACATATTTTGATAAATTTTAAAATGTTATAAATACAATATTTACCCATTATACACAACAGAATGCTGCTAATAAATAACTGCGTTAACAAAACTACTGATCGATTCGGTCAGTCCCTTGGCCAATTCCATTAGATAGTTATGCCTCCTAATCAGATCATTGAAACGATCGTAGACTTGCGGACTTGAGACAACAAAGTTGATGAAATCGGCTTTTAAAATTTTTACTTGACCGCACATATGCAATGTAATATTCAGAAAGAATCATTACCTTTATAGAAAGAAAAAAAAGAAATACAATTGATACTGGCCTTACAGTATGCCATTCGGTCACCCCAATTATTAATGACATTTTGGACTACCTCGGCGCCAATTTCACTCAAAACAGTCGTAATATTGTTTTTCAAAGCTGGAATTGTCTCACACTTTGAGCCACAGCCTCAATATTCTCGGGTGTGCGCACTGTCCGAGCTCTGGGACCACTTCTGTCATCCACTAACATCCCTTTCTCACGAACTTTCCTCACCAATTTGCGTATAGCTCCTTCGGTGGGTGCTCTATCACGACCCATATTTCTTTTCAAAATTCGTACAGTTTCGGCGACACAGCACTGACTTTGAAAATAAGTTTTTAAAATTTCAAAACGCTCTTCAAGAGAAAACATGTTGTTTCGTGCCGCGGACGGTATGACTAATAAACTGTCAAAATTTCGGGTCTGTAGCTCGTTCGGTGTTGCCATACGACGAAATTCAAAAACGTACCAATAGATGGCCCACCCTGTATATGTATATATATATATATACAGAGTACAAGCCGAGAACCTTACAATTTTCAAAATGAAATAACATTACAAATCATAACTTAAATATTAATTCCTTCTTATATACCAATAAAAAATAGAATGCTATTTGAATAATGGACAAAGCAGTTCTGTCAGTTTTTTAATATAATTGGTTTCTGCCTTTGTTAGATCTTGTAGAAATCAATCGAAATAAAATATTCTATTTTTTGTAGTTATACAACAAGAAATTAAT